TGTGTAACTCAAACCGTGGATGCATGAAAATGCACTTTTTCACAGGGGAGCGATTGAGCTAAGAGACCAGGTTTCCTTGCATAAATTTTAAAGGGATGTTAAAAAAAAATATGAGAATGTTTACAAAAACGCTACATGTAAGTCCTGCAGTTTAAGATAGGCCACTTGGTTTCTGTCAGTGTGTTTCTGTCCACAAAACTGTGAAAAAAAATCAATGGATCGATAAAAAGGGACACATTGTTTCGGGTATATTTGTTGCATTCTTTTGAGTCGTACCAGCCGCTCTATTCAATCCTTTAATGTCGATTCAAACAAAATAACAACACCCCGTGGGGAGCGCAGTTCTTATCAAGCGCTTACACTAAATCAGCGAGCACCGCTGTCTCTCACACAACAGCCACACCCAGAGGAGCGCAATGTTACCTCTGAGAATGTGCTTGTGCGGCTCTTTACTGAAAAGCACACGCACGTTCAAACGAGGTGTAGCATCAAGAAGAATCGCAAATCTGGCCTCGTCCCAAGAATACTTGGAAAGGAAATGTTTGCGGGCCTTATATAAGTATGTTTAATAATGCAACATTCCCAGCGCTCAGATCTCTTCCACTCCCCCCGCCGAAGTTGGTTGCTGTGTGGCGTTGCTCTTATTAAGCACTCAATTAAAGCCATTCCCAAGGAGAGGCAGTGCGCAACAATGTTTGAACTAGGAAACAGTCTGTGAAGAGTCACCCCAGAGGAGTGCGGTGCCTTGAAACCGGAGGCCTAGAAGTGACAGATCATCATAAAGCATAGCCAAACCAGGGAAATTATTCTAATATGATTGGATTACAAATAGGGCATTTTACAGAACCAATGAGACCGAATAAATAGAGCTGGAGCATAAGCTGTGTCACTTAGCCTTCTTTCAAGATTTTGTCAAATGAAAGTGTTAGGAACGAACACAGAGACGTTAATGAAGAGCTCTGCTATATGCTCAATTGTACTTAGTCCTGACAATGCACAGAAGTGTGCGCGCAGTTGTACAAAGGGGACGTATTTTGTTGTGTAAATCAGACTTATTCATGAACTCGCTTTGGCTAAATTATGCAACAATTTTTTATCAGCAGCAGATGGATGATTTTATATGTAAGTCCACGCAGATGAAAGATTTGTTTCAATGAAACCAGCTTGTGGTGTGCAGGAAAAACATCAAACTGAAGGCAACTCATTTGGAGACACTGCTTTTGAGGTGCCTTTTTGTTTTGGCAGTAATTGTATTTTTCAGCAGCTATTCCAAACAGCGAGAACAAAATGCACAAAACTGTACGCTAGCCTCACTGTGAGGTCCTTGCATCGCTTTCCCTTTCATTCTGTGCTGACTCCATAAAGCGCTTTCACTTTCACACACTGAAAACAGAATTCATCTTTTCAGTATCCGCCCGATGGTGCGCTGACATTCCTGGAGTACAGCCTAATCACAACTATCGTACCTTTTTAAGAGTTTGGCTGAGGAATAAACATGTAATTTTCCAGGATGCTGCTTGGCAGGCGAGATTTTTTTATTATTATTTTTCCCCAACACTCGCAGCACCTTTGTCAAACAACTCTATTATTCCAAACAAGTAATGCATGGCATACATAAAACCGCACCACACTCTGGTAAAGTAGTATCAGGGGCTTGCAGCTTCCTCATCCATTATGGTGCTGTGGAGAAAAATCTCACGGTGCTGTTTGCTTTGAAAATCCAGCAGAGTGAAGCTGAAAAGCAGCCATGCTAAACAACTGACACCAGGCGTGTGTTTTTATTTACTGTTTGTTACTGAGCATACGTGTGATCAGCAGAGTGGGTGCAAATAGCTATGACAAATATTACAGCGTGTATTAGAAAGCTTATAAAAAGGGACACGAGAGATCAAACGGCAGATACTAAACAGCCGTAATTCTCGACATGGAAACGTCAGGACACCGTAAGGTTTACAGCTTCAGCTGACAATTAGGAAATATATTAAAATCTACTCTATGAAATGTAAGAAAGAACTGAAACAGAAGCAAATTTTTGGTTTACAGAAAATGAAACAAGTTATTTTTCTCATTGCAAAAAAAAATTGTATCATTCAGAATTTCCGACTTCTTCGATTTCTTTTCTTATATTCAGTAAATTGATTATAGTTTCACGTTTGATTGTTGGGAGAACAAAACAACTAAAAATATCCGATTGACCCTGAAAATGTGATGTTTTTTTTCCTTCCTTTTGTCTGTTTTCAAATTACTTAAAAAAAAAAAAATGATTCAACACCTGCAATACAAACAAAAACATACAAACAAATTAAACTGACTTTGCAATAAATCAACGTGTATGCTCTCCACACTGGAGACGTGGAAACCTGAGAATTTTCTGCATTTTTACATATATATGGTAATAATTACCATTAGTTGTCATAGTTAAAGCTAAACTAAATAGTAAAACTAGATTTATTTTAGTGAACCAAAATAAAAAATAAAAACTGGACCTTGGAGAAAAAATGAACTTGGAAAACAGGCTAAAATAAAATAATAAAGAAAATATCTGAAGCCTTGGTATTTGTTAATTGGGTTAAATTAGTTATCAAAAACTGCCTGATGAGGGTTTGATGGATGTTTTTATTGCGCTTGCAAATCAACTGCTTAAAAAATGTCCTGTTAATGTTTTAATATCTGCACTGATTTTCCAACTCTTGCTTCTGACATTTGCCATAAATTAAATAATAAGTAATAATAATCAATACTTACTTACTTAACTTGTACAAACTAAACTAAAACTATAAAAACTAATCAGAAACGAGCAAACCAACTCTGGAAATGAACTGAAATGACAAATAATTAACAACAAAATTTCAAAATGAAACAAAAACTAGCAACTTAAAAAAAGCTATAATAACGGTACAGCTAACTCCCTCTTCTCTGTGTTTTAGCCCATCAAACACCTCGAAACATAAAGGAAGGGAAGCATCCCGTGGCCAGGAGAAGAAGTGGCTTGGAAAATACATCTGCAGAACTTCACGGTCATTAACAGCCGTACGTCACTGCAGATTACACAGCAAACTGTAGGAGCGAGCAACAAGTCTCATTATGCGCAGCCTCACCAACTCCCACCCAGCTTCTGCCTCTCACAGCTACAGCTGTAATGTTTGTACTTTCAGGATGTCCTGTGACATATCTGCACACATTCACACTCACGCATTCTCTTTATGTTCTGTTCCGTTCCTTCGGCTAGCTTTCCCGAAGAGGCATGAAATAAAAATGACCTTGATGACACATTTCTGCGATACTTTTCCGAGGAAACCATGCAATGAAATTTTTATGCCAGGCCTCTAAATGCACCTATCCCGGGGTATTTTTAATGTCACTTCTGCGCCCTGGCAGTTCTGACAGCCTTGTTGGTTTTCATGCCGCTGCCAACCATTAAAGTGCTGTTTTTTCTTTTTTCAGTGCGGGCCTGCATCTGGACTGCCTTGGCCGCATCAGGCAGGCAGGGAAATATCAGTCAAGCGCAGCGATTATCATTAACATTTGTGTGTCATGAGCTGAAGCAGATTGTGTTTCGGTTTGCCTCTGTATAATTATGCGTCTTTGTATGAAAAGTTTTAGGCCATTTGGTAGTTAAATTACATGCACAATCTTTTTTAACACTCTTAAATATTTATGCTTGGATTCTCAGGAGAGTCTCTGTTCTCCGTTTTGAGGTTCCGAGGCGATACCGTGCAACGCTGTTCAAGAAATAAGACTGAGCTGAGGAATAATCCCCGATCCTCAACCCTTTTGAAAGGGAAGTATTTCTCCTTTTTCTCGCTGCTGACCTTTAGAATAAGTTCAGCGCTTGTCAAGGTGGATGACAAGCCTGTGCAACAGATTACACACAGAGAGTCACTGGAGCTGCTCAGTCAGACATAAAAACCTAATGCTGAATGAACAATGTAGGTAGGCACGCCAGCCGATTGATGCTCATGTGCAGCACATGGTCTTGCCCTGCCTGGTGTTAACATTATATTGACACATTTCCTCCTCCTGGTGCCTGAATTCATTTCAGGTTCTTTCTCTGAGGATGGAAAACTCTAACAGAATCCCGTTCAGTTATCATTTGGAAGAGCAGTTTCGGTTTGGCATGTCAGATGTGCTGAAAACGCACAGATGTCCACATCTATTAAACATATTAAACTGGGTTTAAATGGCATTTACTGGCCATTGTAGACTCCAGGCCCTGCACAGGCTGCCCACATACAGCTTATGTAGTGCCTGGCAGATGCACTGATTGAAACCATTAGTGATACAGTGACATAAAGGCTGATTCACGACATGATGAGACAACAAAGTGGCCACATGACAGGGACTAGAATGAAAACATCTTTGTTCCTGGTCACTTCAGTGGAAATCCTCAAACGGTGCGTAAATTAAAGTGGGTGTTTCCGCCCCCTTAAAATACCTGTGGTATTCAAAGGTGATTCTAAAAAAACGTCTCCTTTTCCTTAATTTTGCTGTGTACAGGACTTAGACGGATTCCTGGGGGCCTCCGTAGGTGGTCAGCAGCAGCAACGGCAGCGGAGGCGGCGGCGTAATCAGCCCCAAATCCGCAGGGATTATTGAAGGGAGGGTCAACGCTGGAGGATTACTAAACATCTGCACCGATCAGAGAGACGCTCACACACACACACGCGCGCAGATTACTTTCGCTTCCACCATGATAGTCCCACAACAAAGTAGACAGGCAAATGAGATCAGCAGAGGGTGAAATTCAGAGAAGGCAATCCCGCCCCGCCGCATCCCGTAACACAGCGTCAGGGCTTTAATGTAATCTGGGAAAAGTTGGGATGCGGGAGCGGGAGCGGGATCTGTTTGTTTCTGAGCTCCCACTCGCAGCTCGGGAGCTCAGCAGCTGGGCTGCTGGAGGTTTAACTTGACAAATGCTGAAGTAACCAAGTGAAAAAGAACACACTACTACTTGTACTACTACTACAACTGCTCCCACGCTTATTAACCGCACATCTTACCTTTCCTCGCAGAAGTGATATCTCCAAAGAATTCACGGCCGCAGATTAATCCGTATTTTGTCACTAAACAAAACTGTGCGTACACACATCACTGTCAAGTCTCGGCGACGCTCCCGGCCAAAAATAGATAGCCTCCCCGTCTGAGTTGTGCGCAAAAGACGCTGCTCCCTTCTTTTGTGTTATCACTGCGCTCTTCTCGTCTGTGCGGCACTACTGTGTCTCCATCCCTGCCTCCCTGCCCCTCTCTCTCTCTCTGTCTCCCTGTGTCTCTGAGCGTCAGTAGCACGAGTAGCTGACGGTGTGGCGTCTCGCGGGTTGCATATTGGAAAGTGGAAAAGCCTCTGTGTGCTGCTCGCTCACTCCGATGCGTCAAGTCTCCCCTCCCTCCCTGCCTGTACTCGAACCGTGCTGGAGCGGAGCGGAGCGGGACGCACGCACACGCGGCGGAGTGGAAAGCCAGAGAAGTAAGAGGAAAGAGAGAGAGAGACAGAGAGGGAGACAGAGAGGGAGAGAGAGAGAGAGAGAGCGCTGTCTTGTCTGTCTCCCCTACCGACCAGCCTCCTCACTGCTTCGGCCATTCAAGTGGAACAGACACCGACCGTCCTCCTCCTCCCCTTACTACTACTACTTTTTCCTCACCTTCTCCCGCTCTCTTCCTCCTGCTGGGATGTCCATGGAGTCTGGCTAAATACACCAAAAAGGGATGTTTGTTAATGGCTTGTTATACTCTGGTAAACAGCCCGTGTAATATTTGTTAGAAGCAGTAAACCAAGAAGTTTTTGTAACTTTCTTTAAAGTATTGTCTAAATGTTCATAAATGTTATTATTTGGTGTGTGTTCGTGTGTGGTGGTCTCATTAAATCCTACATTTGCTGCAAGTGATGTCATTCGAGTCTGTAGGGTTGAGGGAAAACAATGGCACAGGGCTAATGGTGTAATGGTGTGAAAGAAGTGATCTTTTCAGACTTTATTGACGTTTTTTCAGGTTGAAGGTTACATTAGTGTTCATGTGTATGACCATGCAGTGACATTACTTATCCATGTTGCAACATTCAATAAATACAATAATTCAATAAATACATTCCCACAGGAGATTTATTGCTTTTTGCATTATATATTTAATAAAAACCCCAGAACATATTATTACATCTTCCCACAGTCTAGAGTCACTCAGGCTAGACTAACACTAACACACTGATCAACACTAAAACAATTTTGTCTTGAAACATGACTGCTTTTATGGGAGGCCAGACGACTGAGCCTGCTTAGATTCTATCTGGGATGGTGTTTTAGTCTGAAAGAGCAGAAACACAGACTTCATGACGAAAGAAATGATAACATATTCCACCTCATTTGCTTCCTGGTTCTGTCTTATCAATCACAAAAATCAAGCCAAGACTTCATAACCCATGTAGCATATTATTATTATTTTGTATTATACTATCATGCTCTATTATGGACTTTAATCTGAACTATAGTCATGATCTTTTGCACACAAATCTTTAGCATCTATCACTAGTAAGAGTTTTAGAACAATTTCTTGTGAAATGTTCACTTTATTAGGAACACTTGCTGTTCATTAGTTGAAACACAGCTGGACAACGATTTAGGTATGTATGCATGTTCAAGAAAACCTGCTGAAATTCAAACTCTGAGTATTTCAGAAACTGCTTATCTACTGGGAATTTCTTGCACAAACATCTCTGGTGTTTGCAGAGACTGTTCTGAAAAGGAGAAAATATCCAGTGAACAGCAGTTATCTGGGTGAAAGTGTGCCGATGCCAGAGGTCAGGCCAGACTGCCTCAACGTGATAGGAAGCCAACGAAAGTATCCAGAAGAGCATCCCTGAACACACAGCGCACTATTCTTTGAAACATTTCATGCCCTCTAATTTTGATGAGCTTATGTGAATTGTAGCTCCAGTTTCTTGTTCTTAGCTGACATGAGTGGCACTCAGTGTGGTTTTTGCTGGTGCAGTCAGAGATGCTCTTCTGTATACCTTGACTCTATTGAGTGGTCATTTGAATAACTGCTGGCTTCAGTGAGAGGAAAGCTTGTTGCCCGCTGGAAAAGAGCCAGAGATAATAATAATAATAACTAATGGGGTATTAATGTACTTTCTCAATATAGGGAACTTTACTGCTACCAACGCACGTCTCATTTTTGGCCTTGATATTGCAGCAGTTATTGCTGCATAGTGAAGGTACGGCATGAGATTTCGCAATACCAGCGACAACAAAACGTCTTTCAACTCTTCAATTTTTGACTTCAGGTTCTTTTCAACATACTGTGGCTTCTGTGGCAGGAATTTCACAGCCGGCACAGTGGGGTTCAAAGTGAAATGGCTAAGGAACAGAGAAAAGTGAGGGCTGACAACATTGACTTTGGACAGCATCCTGAAAATAATCAGATCTTGGATGGAGATGAGACGTGCAAAGTCTTAATAGCAGCTAATTTTTTCATTTTGATGTTTTGAATTGGTTTGATAGTTTGAACGTGTTGTTTGTTTTGGTTCCATTTATTTACGTTAATAAACTTTAAAAACACATTTTCTTAAACTTCAATCAAATTGTTAGAATTTCACTACCATGCACAGACCCACCAGTTTTCACTGTGATCTCAAGAACTATGCTTGAACACAACTGCTTTTAGTGGCAGACCTACACAAATTCATGCATTTGATGATACATTAGATATAGACACAAACACACACAAACAAACACACACGACTCACAAAGTTGAATGGTGACATGGTGAGAGGTGTTGGCAAAGGAAATAAGGGAAGTACACAATCGAGTCCGAGAGTACACAAGGAGCTTGAGGCCTGGTCACCACCATAGGTAGCTGACGGACAAGTGAGTGGAGATGGCCAGGTGGTAATTGGTGCACTTAGTGCATTGCTATGGCATTTCATGTATGACTGCCTGCTGGCATCTTGCTCCCTGTTTTTATGTGTTGGGCTTTCTGAGGGGCATTTTTGCCTGCTATGGCTCTGCTGATCTTGTGCTTAGAGCTTGCTCCTGTGCAGCCATGACCAGTGCATATGTGCAGTCTGTCAGTCCAGCTTTGTCCAGCCATTGGTAGGGTAGATATCAGCCATAGCTTCTATCTGCCTGTGGACATGGTGTGCAGGGGCCTGTCTTCTTGGTGCTCTTTGTTTTTAGGTGTTTGCTGCCTGAGGTATTCACCTAGCACATGGTCATTTGTGGCCATCTTCTTTTGTGGACCTTCTTGCTGTGAATATCAATGTGAAACACTGTGCTAAGCTACCTATAGGCTACAATTCCACATAAACACAAGCCCCTATCCTAATGAGGACGCACATATGATCTTTCTCTTTGTATTTATTTATAAACAATAAGCTGACAACACAAAGCAAAGCTACTTTAAAAACATTAACAGGTAGAGACAGAGGCTGCAGCCTGACTGCTCAGCTGTTTGTTACCTGTTGAAGATCAGAGTGTGGCTTCTGGGCTGGGTTTGCATTTGCTGAGCATTAAAATCTGTCTGCAGTCTTGTTTAGGTTGGCGTTAGCATGCTGTCTGTGCAGATGCTTGCAAAGAGCTAAAGTCGTGTTAGCAGCATATGCAGTTGTTTCTGTCATGAATGCAACTTGCACATGAATAAGAATAAATATCCATATCCATGCTGCAGACTGTGCCACTATTTTCCTCCTCCAGCACATGAACTGAAGTCAGCTGATTGAAGTGCAAGTGGAACTGATAAGCAGGATCAATAGGCAAGCAGACCAGCAGTTCCAGAGAAATTAACTACTGGGAACCGATTCCCTTCACACACACACACACACACACACACACACACACACACAC